TTGTTAACGGATGGGCCACAATTCACCTTGTTGGGCCTATTTTCTGCAACCTGCAAGATAAGATGATGTCGGTTAGTTATAGGCAAAGACAAATAGGTTTAGGAATTTGTCTTAAATACAACAGAACATAGGAATGTGTAAGGGTTATAAATAAGACCCAAGAGTTCTATAGTTTTGTACGGTTTCAAAGCAATAGCAAGATACAATTCAAGAGTTCTAATCTTTTGTCTTATACTCTAAAGTGTTCTATTGCTAATTTGGTTTCATACTTTCACGTGAAGTGTTAGCATTCACAAGCACAAGTAAAGTTTCGTTTCTAACACATCTCCGAGGACGGCGTTTACAACGTACGTGCACGCGTCCTCGGAGGCGAGTCTGTGCTGAACGCTGGTTTTTACTCACGTGCGGAAGATTATTACGTGGAAGAGGCTGAGTGGGAGATGGATGAAGTGGAAGCTGCTTACGAGTGGGTTGAGGACAAACTTGTTTTCGAGCCACAACTAGTAGGATGGCAATCCGCATTTAAACATGGACTCTTGGAGGCTGGTGTGTTACCGTACAACGGTTTCACGTTTAAGCATATAGTCGGGACAAAGATAGGTGGTACTATCTTCGACCCAGACGGCCATAGACACTCGGCCGCTGATTTGTTAGAGTATGCTAATCCGGAAACAATTGCTGTATACTTGCATGCTCTTGTTCACAAGATCCTCTTCACCACTGAAGGTATTTATTGATCAACACATTTTCTTTTCATACCTTTTAGATATACTTTGGTCGTTGGATATGTAATATCATCTTTTGGACAGGAGACCAAAGACCTAGGGCGTACGGAGTGATATATCAAGATGCAGATGGAGTGTTCCACAAGGCAGAGCTTGCAAAAAACACAATGAACGAGGTGATTTTATGTGCGGGTGCCATCGGGAGTCCTCAACTGTTGATGCTGAGCGGCGTGGGTCCTAGGGTTGATCTTGAGTCCCATGGGGTAAGTCCTGTGATCTTAGATCATCCCATGGTTGGGAAAGGGATGGGAGATAATCCGTTGAACACTGTTTTCGTCTCGTCTCCCCGACCAGTAGAAGCGTCCCTCATACAGGTCGTTGGGATTACCAAGTTTGATACTTTCATTGAAGGTTTTAGTAGCGTGAAACTCCCTAATAATATGATGCATACGTTCTTCCAAGGTGTTTTAAGTCTTCTCAACGAGGTACAATATTCAATACTTTGAAGGTATTTTAACGTATTATCTTAGATCACTAGACTGCGTTAATGTGTTTTTACTTATGAAACATTGTGCAGACAAGCCACTCCACCCTAGCAGTTATAGACTTTTACAAACAGTTGAACGTGATGGAAATTGATGGCTGGATCGTCAATAAAGTTGACGGTCCAGTTTCCAGAGGTCACTTAGAACTCCGGAACATGAATCCAGATGATAACCCTTCTGTAACATTCAATTACTACCAAGAGGCAGAAGATCTTGAGAAGTGTGTTAAGGGACTTAAAACCATTATTAAAGTGTTGAATTCCAATGCATTCTCTAGTTATAAGTATCCGAATGCAACTGCACGTGAGCTGCTTAATCGCATGTTGAGCCTTCCCATCAATCTTAGACCAAGGCACGAGTCTGCAAAGTTCAACTTGACACAATTTTGCATTGATACGGTGATAACCGTTTGGCATTATCACGGAGGTTGCCAAGTTGGAAGAGTGGTCGACAAGAATTACAAAGTCTTTGGAATCGATGCTTTGAGGGTCATCGATGGATCCACATTTCTCAAGTCTCCGGGCACTAATCCTCAAGCCACGGTTATGATGCTCGGAAGGTAAGACACACACAAAAATCCGTATATACATGTTAGATTTAAATATGACTATTAGAGTGTGGTATGTGTAGGTACATGGGTCAGAAGATTCTTCGAGAGAGAAATGCTTCCGGGGAAAATAACGAAGACTATTCGATAATCAAAGATGATACCGATAAAAGCTCTTCATCGTCCAAATAAAAGAGTGATTATTGTCTTATTGATAAACTATTAGTTATCTTTTTAACTAAGATGATTAATAATTAGAGTGATGTGAAATTATTTTATTGGGTAAAGTTGGTGCCGTTCTTCGGTTTAAGAGGAAGCATTAATGGCATTAATCTGTTTCAGACAAATAGACCATGTTGATAGCGGCAAACACAAGTATGAAAGTGCTTCCCTCCTTTTGTAGTAGCCAAAAAACTAGATATATTATTTGTTCACTAGCAAAATCAAAGAATTAGGTCTATTGTTTAACAAAACATTCGTGACCACATGTTGCTAATCTAGAGTTATGTGCATAGCTGATCTGCATTAAAGGACAATGGTGTGTTTCCACGACTGATGAAAATGGTTTCAAATTCTCTGTCTTCTAGCCATCTGGTTCTACATAAAGCCGTTTAATAGTATCAATATATGTTCACGGATGCATTTAAGTATTCTTTCCAAGATTCTCATAATTTCCAACCATATTCAGTTCCATATCTATATAATGAAAACACAAATTAATAAAGAAAATGAACAAAATGCTCTCCACAAACTTTTTGATCTCTGAATTAACTATACACATTTTAGTTACTTGCATACTAAGATATAATCAAACTAAAATAAATTGAATTAAATAGTTATATCTAATGATAAATTTAATCAATATGTATATATATATCTTTTCAGTCAAATAAAAAATTTGCTTGAATACATTTTTATAGACAAAATATTAAGGATCTGAGCGTCAACACAAAAACAGAGCCGTTAGCTCAGGATACAGAACAACACAACGCAGTCTTGACTAAGCCTAAACTCGACTAAGGAAAAGCAAAAGTAGGCCAAGATAGTAATCAAGCACACCAGTCAACTGAGCACAGTTCAACACCTGCACGACTAAACCCTCAACCGTCACTACACCTGAACAAAATGAAAAGAAAAGGACATGAAAAAACTGTGACAAAGTTCAGCCAGGGTAAAGCCTACCAAATCAAGCTGTCAATAAATTTGCAGCTCTTGGTTGTGCTCCTGATGTATGATGTTACCACTTGTCGTAGGCTCTAGGGTTTTGTCCATGAGTGTAATAATCTATGCCTGTAAACGATGAACATTTAGAAAGATAAGACAAAGTAACAAACCTAATTCATCTTCTTTATTTTCCTGTGTTTACACAGTTTCCTCCAAAAGAAACTACACAAACAACTTACGCATCCTATATTTGAAAGTAGGAAGAAGATTGACATTTAAATCGAGATATGCTGGATTTGATCCTCAACAATTCAATAATCGTCCAAAGAAAGAGAACTCACAATGCAGAATCAGTGTTATTCAGTTTGGGAACATTTTGCAAACGCAATAAACCTCAGTAGCTAGTGGAGCGACTTATCAACCAAATAAAATGAAGCTGATTCTCCCAATAAAGTCAGGAGTGTGGGAACATTTTATAAGAACTAAAGAATACCGAGAGACCTCAGATCTGACATTTTTAAGAACCTTCTGGTGTGACTAGCTGACAAGCAGAGCAGTAGCCAGTTATTACCGATGATGGGAAACTGAGGCTGGGTACATTAACTATTAGTGTGTTTAGAAAAGCCACAAAATGAGAGAGATGGTTGTATTAGGACAATTGCCATTAGCATTTGTTGAAAGTTTGGCCTAGAAACATTTATGTAACAAGGTTAGCTCTCTTCTATATATATATATATATATATAGGGTTGGCTGCATATTCCCCCCCCTAAATATACTAACCCTACTTATTTCCCCCTAAACTATCAAGCTCTTCATAATCCCACCCAATTATATACTTCCTCTTTAAATATCCCCCTAAACTTTTTTAATCCCCCTTTCAAATCAATTTCGAAAACGTGATTAATAAAATTAAAAAAGCGTTTAGAAAACTGATTGCCCGATTGAATAAAACAGATCCGACCCATAAAAAAAAACAATCCAGTTTAATTAGAAACCTAAATAAAATTAGAATTTAATTGGGGCTTTTTTCATGTCTTCTTCACAGAAAACGACGACACAGAAAAGATGACTAGAGGGAGAGAGAGAGATGATGAGAGAGAGAGAGAGATGACGAGAGGGAGAGAGAGATATGACGAGAGAGAGATGACGAGAGGGAGAGAGAGAGATGACGAGAGGGAGAGAAAGAGATGATGAGAGAGAGAGATGATAGGGAACATAGAAGAGAGAGGGAGAGAGAGAGACCAGGGAACAGAGAAGAGAGAAACAAAAAAAAAGATGATAGAGAGAAAGAGAGAGACAAGATTGAGAGAAACTAATGCTGAGGAGAGAGAGACATTGAGGAATGATGAAGGGGCTGTGGTTGTTGGGTATGGAGAATTTTTAAACTTGTTTAACTTTGATTTCGTATTTGTTTATGTCTGGGTTGAGTTTGATTATTATTTTTTACAGAGATGATGATACAGTTCTTATGTACTTTTGTGACTTTTGTTGTTTTTAAAAACTCTAAATAAAGTTCTTTTAAACTCTAAGTTAATATACTTTTGTGTCTTTTGTTGTTCTTCGAAACTCTAAAATAATGTACTTTGTGTCTTTTGTTGTTGATTTTTTCATGTTGTAATACAACCTCATCTCACAGAATTTAAATGAGAGCAGAGAGTGAACAACAAAAGATAGATTAATATCCACAAAAATAACTATAAAAGACAGATTCATGTTCCACAACTCAAAAACATCTTACACAAAGAGACAAACAAACTACTCTATTCTCAGTTTGAAGATAGAGTAAGCTTCACTTCTCGTTGATTCCGTGGCGAAGATACCTGGAACGACTGATCTCCAGATCACTCTCTGCAAAGAGATGGTGGAGTGGACACGCGCTGAGAAGAGGACTTTTCTGCGGCAGAGAGTGGAGGCGAGGCTGGCTGCGCTTTTGATGGAGAACAAGGAGTATGTTGAAGCTTTGGCGCTGTTGAGTGGTTTGGTGAAAGAGGGTAGGAGGTTAGATGATAAGCTTCTTTTGGTTGATATAGACTTGTTGGAGAGTAAGCTTCACTTCAACTGTGCGTAAGTTAGCATGGGGTGTCTGTTACGGGCTTTTTATGTAGGCATCGTTTTGTTTGCCATGTTGGTCTCTGCGTTTATGATTAGTGGCTTTGTGATAACTCTTTTGACTCATGAACCGCTTGTCGTTAAAGAGAGTTTGAGTTTTGATTACACTAAGAATAGTCCAGAAGCATATGTGGCTATTACTCGAGTTAACACTCCGAATCACAGGACAGAGATCAGTGTCTTAATGACATTACCTGAGTCTGAGTACAACAGAAACCTCGGGATGTTTCAGGTTCGTGTGGATTTCTTATCAGAGAATGGTCAAGTGCTTGCCACTTCGAGACGGCCTTGTATGCCGAGGTTTAGAACCGAGCCTATACGTCTTGTTCAGACTTTCTTATAGACTTGTTGAAGAGTAAGCTTCACTTCTCTCTCTCTCTCTCTCTCTCTCTCTCTCTCTCTCTCTCTCTCGTCATCTCTCTCTGGTCATCTCTCTCTCTCTCTCTCATCATCTCTCTCTCTCTCTCTCTCTCTCTCTCTCCCTCTCGTCATCTCTCTCGTCATCTCTCTCTCTCATCATCTCTGTCTCTCCCTCTAGTCATCTTTCTCTGTGTCGTCGTTTTCTGTCGAAGAAGACATGAAAAAGCCTCAATTAAATTCTAATTTTAATTAGGTTTCTAAATTAACTGGATTGTTTTTTTTTTTAATTATGGGTCGGATCTGTTTTATTCAATCGGGCTATCAGTTTTCTAAACGTTTTTTTAATTTTATTAATCACGTTTTCAAAATTGATTTGAAAGGGGGATTAAAAAAGTTTAGGGGGATATCTAAAGAGAAAATATATAATTGGGTGGGATTATGAAGAGCTTGATAGTTAAGGGGGGAATAAGTAGGGTTAGTGTATTTAAGGGGGGGAATATGCAGCCAACCCATATATATATGTTTAGTTAATATATAACAATTACAATTGATGTTAAATGTGGCCATGTCTTTGACCCCACCAAGAAGTTGAAGCTTGCAAATATGTGTTTTGCAGAGTTATATGGGCAAGACACTATTGAGTATAAGGAGATACATGACTCGTTGATTAGTGCCTTGAGAAGTTTGTTTAAAGAATACAGTGAAAGACATGGAAACAGTGCACGATTGCTTTATAAAAGACTTTAGAAAGAAATAAGAGCTTTCTAAAACATTAAGATCACTTAGCAATCGTCCCTGTAGTTCTGTTTTTATTATCGGTCCTTATAATCATATCGTTATTTTTTGTTACTAAATATGAACCAGAACCAGATCCAATTTATGTTTGGGTTTGTGTGGATCTTGTATGTCTCAGCCGAACTGATTTGAACCTGATGGGTTTCCAACGATATCATACCAGGAATTTCAAAAACTTGAATAGGGCTTCTATGTTTAGAACTGAACACTTATGCCTATTAACACTGCGTCTAGGACTGGAAAATCGGGATCCCATTCGGGTTTCGGGTGCATTCGGATTTTAGATTTCCGGGTTCATGAATTTTCAGCTTCACTTAGATATTACAAAAATTCGGATCAGATTCGATTCGAGTTTAGTCGGGTTGGGTTTTGGTTTTGTTACATGTCCGAGATCTGGTTGAACACGAAATACTTTTGGTTTTGAATATTAATCGGTTTATCAACTTCAAAATATTGATTTGTACTTAACTAAACTCGGATATTTCCAAGTTTTTAAAAACAAATTGTGTATATGGCTTCTTCAAACCATATTCTTGTCATTTAAAATAACTTTTGGAATCTCTTGTATCAAATATACGAGGCTCTTCCTTGAGATATGTGTGACAACATCATACATATCAGGTTCATGAATCATGCATGACAAACTAAAATCTTGTACAAACGAAAATCATACATAATGAAATGTAAAAAAACTAAAATTAACAACTATAAACTCTGTAAACGTAAGCTACACTATTTAAACTTTTGAAAGACAATATTGTTTAAACTTTGGAAGCAGACTTATTCATAAGAACGTCAAATACAATTACTTAACCATAAACATTATTACTGAACAAAATTATATATAAGACTAAGTAGTTGAGTTATTTAGTCATGTAATATATAATTATTTCAGGTACTTGATAATATCTTGGTGTATTTTGTATACATATTAAAAATTGAGATGAAGTTTGGTATAAGTTCTTTTTGAGAATTTTAAATTTTTGGGATATCTATTTTAGTTTGGATTCGGTTCGGATAAAACTCATAACCCGAAATAACACAAATAAAATCCATTTCGGTATTTATGTCGGCCTTGGATTGGTTCGGATATATTTTTATTGAGTCAGTTTCGATTCAGATTTTTGAATTTGGTTTATTTATCCGGTCTTAACTGCGTTAAAGAAATATCTTCACATAATTTTAAGGAAAATTGAGCCAGATGACGCTACAAAAAACAATAATTCATTTTTTAGTCAATTTCTCTAATACAACGATACACCGCACATCTTTCATATAATATTACCATAATACCTTTTTTCTAACCGGTGAAACCTGTAAAAGAAAAAAAGATTAATTAATGAATGACTGAAAAAAAAACGTGGACTTGGTTACTTTCCCATACACACTCTCAAAATAGTATTATTAGAATTAAGAAATATGAATAGGTTCCTTCTCATATTTGTATGAGTCTATGCCCCCAGACTGCATTCATGGAGAATTTTTGTGGAGGAGAATACTGTTCTTAAAGATGTGGTCGGTCATGGAAGAAGACGCTGGAATAAGACAGGCAATGAGGTGATTTTACGGCGATCCTTCCAACATCTGTAAGTTTCGGTGTTTTGTTTTGGTTATCTTCACCATACCTTTTTCTACCTCCTTGTGCTATCGTCAAATTTGTGTCAAGATATTTGTAAAATTAATAAATCTTTGTCCTTGCAATGCAGTTAAAATTGAAATAACCGTAGTTTAACGAATTATTTAGGGTTGTTATTTCACCAGTTGAGCTTACTCTTTGTTTACTCATGTCTTTTCTGTTTTAAAGTGTATATAGTATAGATCTTCATTACAATGCATGGAATAGACTCTTGGTGATATATTCTACATGATATGTTCTATTTTGTATTCTATATAACAATGCAAGTAGGAAAATAGAATAATCTTTACATAATATTTTTCTGTGAATTGCATCCATTTTTGTATGTCTTCAAACATAATATACTACTTTAAAAGATAAAATAATATAGAAAATGTATTTTCTAAATATAATGAATTTTATTAGGGTTTACATGGTTTTTGCTTATTTTTTTCTATTATATGTTATATATGTTTCCTATATACATTGATATATGGATCTTAACACCTTTAAATTTTTTTCTTATGCGTCTCAGATTTGAAATGAATGATTTAGGGATACCAAAAAAAATGTACGAAGCTGGCTTTTACAAGCTCGCCACCTATATCCTCAAGCTTACCACCCATATTCTCCTCACCTCTTGCAATATACTTTTTGTTTTTTTTTTCTATTCGCTTTGACAAACATAGAATAGCAATATTATTGTACAGTCAATAAACATGAGTTATGTTTTGTTGTTGTACCATTAATATGAATCTTAGTTTATGTATATTGATCAAAACTAAACATTTACAAACTCGATTTTAACATTTGATTAATTACACCCATAAAAATGTAAACTTCAGAAAAATTCATGTTATTCTATTTATAAGGATTATATTTTATATTTAAAAGTAAATTATTACAATGAATTATCTATATTGTATAGTTTAATATTAATTAATATAGTTTAATATTATGTAGTATTTTTTATTTTGATATTTGGGTTTAAAGTTTATATTTGGATGTAGGATTTATTGATTATGGTTTAGAGTTAAGTATTTGGAAGGTGGGGGTTGAGGTTGGGGCAACATTAATTGCTTCCATACAATCATATACATTCCATATTTTAAGTGATATGTAATATGCTATTTATTTTGTTTCATTCTATTTGAGTTTATGATTTATATTTGGATTTAGGATTTAGTGATTATAATTTAGGATGTAGTACTTAAGGATTGGGGGTAGGGTTTAAGGTTTATTATTATAAGGGTTTAGAAGGGATTAGTGCCCTATACTATATAGGGGTGGAGAAAAGATTGGTCATATACTATTTTGATGATATGGAATAATAACATTCTAGAACTTTCAAATCATGTGGATGTACATTCTTAAACTTTCTATGTAGCACATATAATATAATATTATTTATTTTGTTTCATTTTTTTGGGTTTAGATTTTATATTTGGCTTTAGAGTTATATTTGAATTTGAGTTTAGGGTTAATATTTAGGGATTGAAAGTGGAATTGTAATATGGTTTACTATATAGGGGTTGAAAAGTTACTGGTGTTCTATTCTATTTTGATAATATAAAATAGAATATTTTGGATTGGGATTTAAGATTTAGTATTTAGGGATTAAAGTAATATATAATATTTAAAAGTTATAGGTAAATTTGTAATCTATATACTGTTTCAGCGAATGAAATGAAAACACTAAGTGTGTGTATATATATATATGGTTAATAAACAAATGTACATGACTTTTTCTTTCATGTGGAAAAGTTGTAAGGTGTTCTTGACCATATCTTATAGGGAAGTTAACTCAGAGATTATGAATTTTTTATTGTCATAACCATACAAAACTTTTTTTTATTACTATTTTTTTTTTAATACCCATCTTGCCATTTTTTTACGTTGTGAGAAAAATGTATTTACAAGAATGCCATTACTTTTTAGTGTCACGTAGGCAAAAAATTGGCTCCACGTAAGAATGCAGCATAAAACACAGCCATAATACGATACGAACTTCGTTACGGCCGAGTTATAGTTACGTTGCTGCTAGCTTAAAGAATTTAGCTGACTTATGAGAAATAAGCTGAGTCATGAACATAACTCAGCCTATCGTTATGGCTGACTTAAAAAACCAGGCTGGTTTATGTGATAACGGCTGAGTTACAGTCACATGTTACGACTGACTTATACATCTGCGGGCTGATTTCCTGAAAATCCGGCTGAGTTCTAGTTACAATACAGCTGAGTTAACTACCACGGCTGGTTAAATGATCGTCGACATGCCGAGTTATGAGAGATATTTACAGCTGAGTTATATTTAATCAGCCGTAATAAAATGGAGACAGTAAACTCAGCTGAATTACGGCTGACTTATTAGCGAAAGATTAATTACTAGAATAGCATTCATTTGCCGGCTGATTTATTTGACGATACAGCTGACTTATTGTGTTTCATTTTTGTTATGGCTGATTATTAGCAAAAAATTAATTACTAAATAGTATTCATGTTTTTACTGAATTACGATGTACTTGGTGGCTGGCTAATTGTGGATGACTTAAGTGTTTTTTTGGAGGCTGAAT